CACAAGACACTATGCAGCGTGACTGCCCAGGAGAGGCCAAAAAGAAACCTAACCCTGGCCAGCATGGCATTGACCACCAGCCATACCCAAGAACAGATGGAAGGCAAGAACAGTCTGTGGGCTATGTGAGCTGGGCCACAGGAACACAACCTCCCATGGATGCTTGGGGTACTACAGATATGTATGGCACCAAAAAGTGCAGAACTCATGGTTATCATGACCTTATGCCCTGTCTTTGTTTGGGTTCTATTCCTGTGAAGAGACTGCTTCCCACTTCCTCCTGACTTAGATGCAATGTGACCAGTTGCCTCCTACTCTGTGAATCAAAATTGGCTCTGTCTTCCTTAGGTTGCTTTTGTCAGGTATTTTGCTATAACTATGAGAAAAGCTCAACTGCATCCCACCAATGTTGTGGTAATGTGGAGTGGCTGGGTTAATACTTACTGATTTGTAGTGCTGATAACACCCTGCCTGGAGCAGCACAGAGAGCGGTGTGGTCTACAGCTCCAAGGAAATGAATTTGAGAGCCCAGAAAGAGAAAGGGTGGCGTGCAGTGTTGGCATGTGGTGTGTAGCAGTTTGGTGTGGTGGTTTTGAGCAGACAGGCAGAGAGAAACACTCCAGGTACAGTGGTGTGGAGGAGAGTGCTAGCTGTGTTTACTATTGGCGAAGAATTGGTACAGAGTCCTCAAAGAACCCCTTGACCCTAAATAGCTGGAAGAAGTAAAGGGGTCTGTGTCTCCTCTCCCCACTAACCTTCTCTCTCCTACCGAGGGCTGGGGGGTTGAGAGGAGGTTGAGGCCTACATACCCCAAATAGTTTTAACAACTAGCACTACAATGCACCGTATATGTGTGTGTATGCACTCACATATGTGTGTGCATGTTTACATGTGATTCCATGAACACATAGGCACCAGAGGACAAACTCATTGTCATTTTCACCTAATTCCTTGTTTGAAACAGAGTCTCATTATTGTTGGTTTTTGGTTTGTTTGTTTGTTTGCTGGCTGTATATACCAGTGCAACATTTGTTATATTGGCAAACTGTCATGTGGTGTGTAACCTTGTTGAAGGTGAACTCCGGAGGCTGGCTCAATGGGACTTCCCCAAGCAGATTGTTTGTAATCCCCATTTTGGTGATCTTTTTTGTATGTTTTCTCAAAAAGCCTATTCCACTCATCTCCCCTGGTTGTTGTGGGTACCAGATTTGATGATGTTCTGCTGTCTGTCAGATATTCTATATGCTACTACCTATTTATTCTTTTAAATTTTCTTGTTATATACTTAGTAAAGACATTTCTTAATAGAAAGTATGCCAATCACAAATAATTCTCGGCACTGTAGAGAACAGCCAGGTTAACTAGTTCACAAGGTTCCAGCAATTCTGCTCTGCTTTACATCTTCTCCCTAGACTTGTTGAGATTACAGATGTTCATGCTACTGGGTATGCTTTGAGGTAGGTGCTGGGTAACAAACTCAGGTCTCACACATGGGCAGTGTATTAGTCAGGATTCTCTAGAGGAAAAGGACTTTATATATAATATTATAACATAGTATTATAGATAAAAGATTATTATATATAAAAATATATACTATATATAAAAGGTTTATTAGAATGTCTTACAGACTGTGGTCCGGCTAGTCCAACAGTGGCTGTCTACCAAGGGAAAGCCCAAGAATCTTGTAGTTGTTCAGTCCATGAGGCTGGGTGTCTCCGCTGGTCTTCAATATACACTGGAATCCTGAAGAAATAGATTCTAACGCCAGTAAAGGAATGCACTTGCCAGCAAGAAAGAGAGCAAGTAAAGGAAATACAGTTCCTCTTTCCTGTCCTTTGTATAGGCTGACAACAGAAGGAGTGGCCCAGAGTCAAGGTGGGCCTTCTCAGCTCAAAAGATACAGATGACAAATGGCCCTTCCCACTTCAAACGATTTAATTAAGAAAAAATTCCTCACAGGTGAACCCAGGCAACTGGAATTTAGTTAATTCCAGATGTAGTCAAGTTGAAAACCAAGAGTAGCCACTACAGGCAGTTAGTGCTTTTACCCAGTGAACCATCTCCCCAGATCCTCTAGAAAGTTTTTCTGACAGAAAATTAAGTTTGTTTACAAACTCCAGGGCTATTCATATTTTAATTTATTTTGCTTCTGGGTTCGGAAATTCGACTAGTGTTGATTTTATCTAACTTCTTAAATGATTGGTGTTAAGCTGCTCATTATATGCCGTCATTCTTCTCTTAACACCTATATGATCTGTGGTAATATTTTTTTCATTCCTGATACTAATGATTAAATATATCACCTTTTCCTTAATAAACCTTCCAAGGGTTATAAATCTTGCTAGTTTTGAATATATGTATGATTTTCTCATTTTCCTTAGTTTGTCTTCTTCTATTTCATTGATTTCTGCTCTTGTCTCTGCTACCTCCTTCCTTGCACTTATTTTGCATTTACTTTACTATTCTTTTTCTTTTTTGCTAATCTTGGTAGTGAGCCTCTGTCCCAAAAAGTGAAAAAAAGAAAACTATAAATCAGTATGGTTTATGAACACATACATAAAACACTCTAAAAACATTTTAGCAATATGACTTTAAAAATGTTAAAAGATAGCATACATGACCAGAGTTGTTCAAGGAAATGCAAGTCTTAATGTAAGTTAACATATAAACAAACAAAGGAAAAACTGGGTAATTAACACAGTAGTTGCAACACAAGCATTTGAGAAACTCAAAATCCACTGCAGAATTTTTTAAAGAATTATTTTAAATTCCCAGGAAATAAGACGGCCCTCTTAACCTGATGATGGCTATCAGTGAGAAACCTACAAGTCATGTTACGCTTAAGATCTGACAGTGGGTGCTTTCTTTCTAAAATCAGGACCAAGAAATGGTTGTCTACTCTTACAACCTTCTACTCAATATTTTACTGAAGATTATGGCAAGAAAAATTAACAACAAACAAACATCTTTGACCCATGTAGCATCTCTTGAAGTTTTCATTTCTTAATATGATCCGATTGACAATTCCTAGACTTGGAAGGTACACATTTAAATCATAGCACTTAGCCTCAATTATTTTATTGTAGAAGCACAACTGACTAATAATATCACCAAATTGTTGAGTGAAAGCCACCAAACAGGAAGCAATGTACAATTCTAGGAAATACATACAACTTTGGCAACACTAAGCAAATCACTGACTACCTGGCCATAGGGGAAGAGGAGAAATAGATTAGCAGGGGCTGAAGAAACTTTGAGGGTAATAGATATGCTACTGAGTTCGTTTAGGTGAAGACTTCATACTTGTTATGAAGTTTATGAAACCTTACCAAAATATGGTGCTTGAATCACATTTTAATTACCACAGTTTAAACATGTAACTTATTGTATGTTAAATTCCAACACATACGGATTTATTTTCAAAAACACGTAAGAAAAAGACAACTATGTAGAGTTGGGCAACTGATTTGAGCAAGCACATTATAAAAGAAGGTACAGAAATGAGCACTTCAAACATAAAACCAATTTAATATAATTAGTCATCAAGGAAATGATCACAGAAATCACTTTACACCCACTTGAATGGATAAAAATAACAGTTGATTAGGATGAGAAGGAAAATGAACCCTCACACATTCTGTTAGGAGTCTCAATTGCATACCCATGTTGAAAAGCATTCTGGAAGTTGCTAATAACACATACAACTACCGTATGAGATCCCAGGTTTTTACTCAGGAAAAATGAAAGCATATGTTCACTCAAAAACATACACAATGATTCATATTCCTAAAAGCAACCTACACCGGAAACAGCCTATATCATAAGTACTGAATGAATCAACTAGCCATTCGATGAAAAAAAAAAATGACTCAGCAATGAAAGGAAATGGAACATATTTCAAAAATGTAGAGAAAACTCCAATATATCAGAGGAAAAGAAAGAATTCAGACACAAAATGGCAGAAAATAATACATACTATCTGATTCCATTCGCCTGCAATAGGAATGACTCAAATAGGCTGTCAATGGTAAGAAAATTTAGAATAGTGGCTTCCCCTATGGAATTGTGCTGGAAATGTGCTGGAATAGGACGCATGAGAAATTTCCAGACTTCTCATAATAGTTTGTGTCTGGAGAGGGGTTTAGGAAAGATATTTGTCCAAACTTTCCATATAGATTTGTGCATTTCACTGAATGCAAATTTGGCTTCAAAAAAATAGAAGGACAATAAAAAAGTTGACCTCTAGTTAATGCTGCACTTGATGAAGCACTTCGTAATAAAGTGTATTACTTAAGCAATAAAGTGCAACTGCACCTTATTTTGAAGTACATCAGTAAAATAAATACAAGCAAATACAATAGCAATACAAGTACGTATACAAATGCAGAGCAGTGAAGTTGACCAAAAACGTCATGGTGAACTGGCAACTGCTTGCAGCAGCACCTCTGAACCAAGACACTTGCGTGGGGATTCATGGTATAAACTGCTATTCTGAAATTCAGGTTACTGTTTATTTATTGGTCCCCCCTGATACACATACAGTACTCTCACAGGAGCTCTGAGGTGCCTGATGTGTGGTTCTTAGGATAGACATGAGGGTCTAGTTTTGTTCACAGTTGTATTCTGGGTGTCTAGCACAGCGAGGGCTCACACATGAGGGATTCTGACCGATGTACACTTTTTTTGAGTGCCCTCCTGCCCTACTATCATTCTGAAGGTCCTAGCTTTGTCAGTTTCTTCACTGTTTCCACCACTAATCAATTCATGATTTATTTTTACATTCATTCCACACCCATCACCCAGGATCCATGAGTTTTGCTCCCCCAGTCTCACCTATCCCATCTCCCCCTCTCACCCCGCCCCAGACACGCCCCCTTCTGTTCCACCCCTCTTTCAAGCCAATCATAGCTGACAGGCCGGGCGGGACCAAGGCCGGGGCGGGGCTTCGGATTCAGTACCCCAGGCGTTGGCCCCAGCTCTGGAAACGCGCCTCCAGGCTCCAGGGCTCAGGCAGGCGCTCGCGGCTCCGTGGCGCTTCCTGCCCCGCCGGGCCTGCTTGTTCCACGCCAGCTCCACTTCTGCGAAGGCCCAGAGTCACCGTGGGCCGGGTGAGCGTGTGGAGGGATGTGCAGCTCGAGTGATCTTGAAAGATGCGCGCGCGCGCGCACGCGCGCGCGGGAGCAAGGATGTGCGGCCTGAGGGAGCGTGCTGGGTGGCGGGAGGCTGTGCTGGGGGCCTGAGTGAGTACATGGACCGCGGGATAATATGCGGGGGAGGGGGAGTTTCTCAGAGTTGGGAGCTGCTCAGCCTTGGGGCAAGCCAGGAGCCAAAGGGGACAGGTCTCTGGTATTGGGTGGACACAGCAAGGCCCTGGGGCCTTCTCGTGCAAGGCTGGGGGTAGTGGTCAAAGGCGGGAATCTGTTGAGGCCTGTGCTACTCTTTAGAGGATGCTAAGGATTGGGAACTGGTCAGGAGCTGGGGGTGATCCCATACACACAGCCTCTAGCCACTTGGAGGCCGTGGGTTTGGCATAATGCTGGAGAGACTTTTCCCCAGAGTGGGGGAGGGGTTGCACCTCTAGGGCCCAGAGGAAGGTTCTGGCCTGGGAAGAACTGCCTTTCCATTTGAGGGGTGGTTGCATAGGAGCAGGTATGTTGCTTAGGGCAGAGAGTTGGCAGTGCAGAAGGGAATCCTTGCTGGAGGAGGAGAGCTTCTACTGTGGCCCTCCTGGGAACCACATTTTCTAGTCACCACTCCATTGCTCCCTTTCCTAAACTCCTTTGCTGGTTCCTCCAGTTTACATTTGGGTGATTAATTACATGTCTTTTTACACACAAGCATACTCCCACTTGCCTGCTGCCCAAAGCCCATTGTCCTTTTCAGCGCCTCCCCCTCATTCCTGGCCCTCTTCCCAGAGGGCCCACCCTGTGCCAGCTGACACCCTCTGGCCTGCCTTAGACTTAGAGGCAATCACTCCTCCAGTCTCCTTGGTTAGTGCTACATTTTCTTTTAAACCTCAGTCCCTACATTTTCCTTTAGGAGTAAATTTCAGATAGGACCAGTGGAATAGTACCTCTCCTAGGTAGAACCAATTGCCTTACCCCCTCTCCCACTAGACATTGTTATAGAAATGAGATTCACAGTGTCTGACACAGTCTCCTGGTCCATTGCTCCAAATGGTCCTGAATCTGTATTTAGAATCCCATGGAACAGTGATTTTCTAGCTTTCTATTAATGATATACCCCCTTAGAAAAATATAAGTAGTGTGATTTCTCAGAAGTCTTACTACCAGCCACATAGTTTGGAAACTCTTAATATCCAGACGGGGTAACCTCAATGGCTCTATACTTAGAATTTATTTTGATTTTTAGAAAGATGTCAGTGCTGTATTCTTGGAGAAATGGGGACATAAATCTTTCCTCCATTAAACATAACAAACACTATAAAATTCCCTTCTGGTCAACCCTTTGGCTTTTTATAGGATGGAATAAAGAGGGAAAACTTAAACAGAGACAGGTGCTCAGGCAAAGTGAGAGAGAAAACAGATGCCTTCCCACCCACACATACAGAAAAAGATAGACACAGACACAAATATCCCAAGAGTAACAGACTTTTCTCGTAAGACAATCATCTCTTTTAGCTTTTTAGGATTCTGTGTTTTTGAGTAGTAGCCAAGTTTCACAGTACAAGATGGGCCTATGGGCCTCCTGCCTACCTCCTGGCCTGCGGGGTTCTTTGGGGAACATAAAGGCCAGGAGTACCTATAGCCCCAGGACTCACTGAGACACATCCAGACCTTGGCAGTACCAGTTTAGTTACACAGTTTTTCCTAACCCTAAGTACTCAACACCAAAAGGACGGGTTTCTGGAAGGTACACATATAAGCCTGCTTTTGTTCACCCAAGTTATTTCAACCCAACAGGTGAGACCTTCACTACTGGACTGATCTCTTGGCACTGTTCTAAAATGAGATGAGCCATCCATGTGTCTTTTTTAGGTAAGTCTAGGTGTTTGCATAATGTGGCTGCTGATGGTAAAGCAGGCTGTGCTGCTGGAAGACCCATGGGTAGGGTAAAAGATAGTGAAGAAGTATTTGGGTTCTGGAAGCTTGTATATGTTACTGTTGCTGAACTACCTGCCCAGAAACAATTCTGGCAATTTTAAACACACAGTACCAGGGAAAGAAGATGCCTGGCAAGAAAATATGGAGACCACTGTGTGTGAGAGGGTGCTGAAGGCACCGATTGGGATCAGATCTCTTTCAAGTGTTCGTAACCTTAAAGTACATTTGCCTTGGCCCTAAAGGGAATTGTACAGAACAAGCTTTGTGTTCTGTGGAGGAAAGAGCTTGTTGGGCTTATACTTCCAGGTCATAATCCATCACTGAGGAAAGCCAGGGGCAAGAACCATTGAGGAGCACTACTTACTAATTTACTCTGATTCACTGCTTAGCTACATTTTTATGTAGCTCAGGCCCTCCTGCTGAAGGATGATCCCCTCTAATGTCAACCATCAACCAAGAAAATCTCTCCCAAACATGGCCCCAGGACATTTTGATTAAGGGTCCCTCTTCTTAGGTGATTCTAGGTTTATGTCAAGTTGGTGATAAAACCTAAACCAGCACATGTAATGAAGGTACTCCTACTGCTGGTTCTTGTTTCAATACTTGAGGCAGCCTAGGTGGGTCTTACTTGAGTGGCATTGCTGCCTCTTCCTGCCTTGCTGCCACAGAAAGATAATATCTGTCCAGGGAAGTACAAAAGGCACAAAAGTATCCACCAGTTTTTATGGTAATGGTTGTTTTGTGCCTCTGTTGAATTCAACTCTCAATTTCTCTTTTTTTTTTTTTTTTTTTTGTGGGAGGCAAAAAATTAAATGATTATATTGGCTCCCTTACTGTTTATACTCCCATACAGTAAATTCAAATAAGTTGCTTAGTAAAAACTTAGGCAATGACTGAATAAAACTATTGTTTCTGAATACCATATTACTTATCTGTTGATGGATACTTAGGCTGAATCTATAAATAGGACTGCAGTAAACACTTATGTGAAAGTATCAATGACTATACATCAATATCTTTTATAAAAAATTTTTACACATTGCCTTGAAGCAGGAAGATTTGCTCACCACAATGAGCTTTGGTGTTTTAGAATCCACACTTGCTCATCCTTGCAATTGACACTGACATGATTGCTGCCCATGTATTCTCACAGCAGATTTTTATTAAACAGGTGCAGCATACGTGGACTTGGCTAGAGCCAATATGAAATTTGGCAGTTAACCTTGACAAAGCCTTTGTGTTCTGGGTGCACATAGTCTTAGCCTTTGTTTCCCATAGAAAGAAAGTGTTGTTTGCCTTAAAAGTTGGAGGTTTGTTTTTCTACAGTGGCTCTCTCAGCTTTCTTTCCTAGTTAGAGGTACAAGTATACTATGGGAGATTGTTTAGGGTTCAGGGTATGCTTTTCTGTCCTGAATGAAAGTGACTTATGTTCAAGGTTACCATTACCCTCTGTGCCCATTGGGTGTATTACAATGACTTTCATGTCCTGTATGGAATTGCTTAGACCTTATCTCCAAAGATCCATTTCAGAAGGCAATGGACACCTGCGATTATCACTGTTATCACAGCATCCAGCTTCTTTTCTAGATTAATTCCACCATTCTAAAGTGGACTAGCTGTGCAACACAGACACTAAGTGATCCAGTTGCCTTCAGTATCAGTGGTAGTTTTATTTTTAATGTGTGTGTGTTACCATTTTAAAATGATTTTCCTATACTTAGGATACACTTAGCTAATTGGGCAGGCTTCACTTTTTCCCTCTCGTTTTAATGAGTACCTTCTAAATTATCTCTATGTATTCAAGTGCTCTGTTACTGTGGGTAGCCATCACATAGCTACTAGGACCTAAAGTGGTCTCAAGCCAAATCCCTGGGATGAATTAGTATAGGAAAGGCTATGCCTATTGCTATATAGGAAGGATAGTTATCAATTCTTTTGGGATTGTAGTTCCAGGACTTTAACAGTTAATCATGCCAATTAAGAGAAAACACTTCAGTGGGATTTGCTAAAGGTAGATAATTTGCTTATAATCTTTGTGTGTGTGTGTGTGTGTGTGTGTGTGTGTGTGTGTGTGCAATGAGTTTCTACAATGGCATGTTGATGGTTTGATTTAAAGGTAGCTAACAATGTATATCCATGAAGCCTGTCCAGTGGTCACTATCAGCTGATCTTCTGGCTCTGGCCTGGGTACATAGGGTTGTACATTCTTTGTTTTCTGGAAAATGGTGGTGATAAAAACCAGTTCTAGTTGTGATAGTGAAATTATGTGACAGGAAACACAGCTCCAAACATTCATTCCACATGCTCTATAAAAAGAAGCTTGCTCCGTTTAACACACTACTCTGGCTCACATTGATTCTGTAGTTCCACAATACATCTTGTCCTACATGGTGCCAGGATCTGCTTATGTAGACCAGGAATTTAGGGGTAACCAGTGGAGAGAAGGCCCTGTCCTATTGGATCAGATTTTTTTTTTCCTGAGAAAAACAAGCAACTTCAAAGGACAATTTATCATTAGTGAAAATGTTTAGAGGAAACTGCCAGGGTTGGAGAATAAAGAGGTTCTAAGGAAGTGACATTTGAATGAAGGCTTGAATTATTAGAAGGAACCCCCTGTGATAAGAGATGGTATTCTTAGCAGATTCACAAGCTTTGAGGGTCACGGCATTGGCATCTGAATATCTGCATGAAGGCCATTGTGTCCGGATGTGGTGAAGGATTTTGGAAGGGTGGTAGGATATGCAGTTGTGTGCTAGGCTAAAGCTTATTACTGGAAGTGCATATATGATGTGATTTACCTCTCTCCCTTTTATTTGGTAACACCAATATTAAATAGAAGTGAATTGCATTTTAAAAAAAAAATCATGTAATAAATTTATGACCAGGTCATTATGTTAATATAGGAAGCCGAAATCAAACTAGACATTGAACACATACCAGGAAGAATCCATTAAGCCAGAGAAACCCTGCTTTGGTCACAGTGGAACAAAGAGAGGGTTTGTCCACTGAATAACTAGGGGTGACCTCACACATTTGGAGAAGTGCTTTTGCTAGGCAGTCAGCTAAAATGGGTAGGAGGGCTTGCAAGAACTTTGGGGTCACATTAGATCCTCTGCTGATACCTTAAGGAAAGGGGTCCAAGAAGTCTGTACTTAAGACTTTCTGCTCACCCCTTTCATAGACTGCCCATAATCTCACATTGGTCCTTCTTTTTGCTTGTTTTTCACATATGGCTATCCAAGAAATACAGGTCTTTTTACGTGTCCTCAAGAGCCTTTCTCCTCAGGAATGGCTGCATTGTCTTCCTCTGTGGCCTGGTAAGGCTGCTGCCCATTCAGGGGGAGGTGATCAAAGAGCCAGCCACTGAGTTTATGTCAGAGATAGCAGCTGTTCCCATTACTAGGGCACCCACTTGGACACTGAGCTGCCACAAGCTACATCTGTGCAGGGGTCCTAGGTTATCTCCATACATGGTCCTTGGTTGGAGTATTAATCTCAGGAAAGACCCCTGTGCCCAGATTTTTTGTTTCTGTTGCTCTCCTTGTGGAGCTCCTGTCCCCTCCAAGTCTTTCTATCTCCTCCTTCTTTCATAAAATTGCCTGCACTCTGCCCAAAGTCTGGCTATGAGTCTCAACATCCGCTTTAATGCCCTGCTAAGCAGAATCTTTCAGAGGCCCTCTGTGGTAAGCCCCTGTCATGTACCCTGTTTTCTCTCCCTTCCCATGTTCGTCCCATTTGCCTTTCTGAATGAGGATTGAGCATCTTACCCAGGGTCCTCCTTCTTGCTTAGCTTGTTTACGTGTACAAATTTTAGTATATTTATCCTATATTATATGTCTAATATCCACTTATAAGTGAGTATATACCGTGTGTGTCTTTCTGCTTCTGGGATACCTCACTCAGGATGATTTTTTTTTCTAGTTCCCACTATTTACCTGCAAATTTCATGATTTCCTTGTTTTTAATTGCTGCATAGTATTCCATTGTGTAAATGTACCACAATTTTTGCATCTATTCCTCCATTGAGGAACATCTTGGTTGTTTCCAGATTCTGGCTATTATGAATAAAGCTGCTACAAACATGGTTGAGCAAATATCCTTGTTGTATACTTGAGCATATTTTGGATATATGCCTAGGAGTGGTATAGCTGGATCTTGAGGTAGCACCATTCCTAATTTTCTAAGAAAGCACCAGATTGATTTCCAAAGTGAATGTACACTTTTACATTCCCACCAGCAACGGAGGAGGGTTCTGCTTTCTCCAGAACCTCTCCAGCATGTGTTGTCACTTGAGTTTTTGATCTTAGCCATTCTGATGGGTGTCAGGTGAAATCTCTGATGAGACTAGAAAGGCTAGGGTCAGATGGAAGGGGAGGAAGACCACCTCTATCAGTTGACTGGAGGAGGGGCATGGGAGGAAAAGAGGGAGGAAGGGGGGATTGGGAGGGGTTGAGGGGAGCTACAACTGGGATACAAATTGAATAAATTGTAATTAATAAAATTAAATGAATACATTTTCAAAAAGAGCCTTTTTCCTGCTGTTTCCTCCATCTCAGCCCTGTTCTCTGGCATGCTAAGCATCTGTCTTTTTCCAGGTTTCCCTATCAAAGGATGTCTGAAATTGGTCTTTTCTGATACTGATGAAATTCAGCTTGGTGGGTAAAAATCCACACATTAAAGAAACTGAAAATGAATCTTTCCAGATCTTGTCTCTCTCCCTGTATAGCTATACAAATGTTGAATCAGTATGCTTGTTTTGACTGCTGGTCACTCATTTTTTTTTCCTTCTTTTTATGAAAATGTGACTATATGTGTATTTGTTTTCTCCTCTTCGGGTTTTCAATCAAATTTTATCCTTTTGTTTCTTCTGTGAAGAATTTGCATTTTTGTAATCTGCTGAAATGTTATCCTCATTCTGGGCACCTGTTGATTTGTATATTGAAACCTTCAAGTTTTCTTCTTGCTTTGAGGTCTAGAACCTTTCACTAGAAACTTCAGAACTCTGATGCATATTGGACATTTGCTCTCTTTCCACATAGATTTGTTTCTCAGTATATTTATACTAAACTCTTCCTATTGGTTACACTGTACTCTTATTTGCTTTTACTTTTAATATGTCTGCATCATTAGCACTGTTTTAGAAAGTACATAGTTTTCCTTTTTAATACAATCTAACAATCTCTACCTTCTGATTGAAATGTTTAGTCCATTTATATTTAATTTAACTATCTATGTGATGGAGTTTACATTTGCCATCCTGCTATTTATTTCTATTTGGTCCCATCTTTTCTTTTTCCCTTACTTTTCCTCTTTTGGAATATTAGCGCTCAGCAGAGTCTTGGTAACTTGGTAAAAAAAAAAAAAAAAAAACACATGCTCATGTTTAGCAACTGCTTTTTCTTGAAATGGTCAGCTAAATTTTAAAGATTTTGAAATACAGAAGGTGGAAGTCTTATGTCTTCCCTTACATTCCTGGTGTTCTTTATGCCTTTGTGTAGCTCTAAGTCTGATTTCATTTCCTTTGGTCTATTTTATGGGTACAGAGCTGCTACTGGCAGATTGCCTTCATTTTTAATGGATTTTTTTTCTGACTATAGAATTCTTGGTTGACAGTCTCTTATTATAATACTTAATTGTCTAGATCTTCATGGTTTCAACTATCTTTGTCATATCTAATCACACCCAGTGAAGTTATTTATTTTTATTTATAAATTAAAAAATAAATTTTTAAATTTATTTATATATATATTTAATATGTAAAAAATTTACTTGGTTCTTTTTATATCCTATATTTCCCCTGGTGTCTCTGTTTTTCTTTCAGTACTGAGGCATAGTTAAATGATCTTTTTTTTCCTTAGCTAATAGTTCTAGTACTCATTTCTGGATTCTTCTATTGACTGCTTATTCTCTTTGTTCAAAGTCACATTTTTGTGTTTCTTGGCAGTGCAATAATTATTTTTTTTTTTTTGGAAATTAGATCTTATAATGATTTTTCCTTGAGTGTACAGACTTTGGGTATGAGTAATTATTTGTAGGTCAGTTAGATTGTCTTTGGAGCCTTTGGCTCTTTTGTAGTTTGGCTGTAAGGATATACTATGGAGGAATGTTCCTTCTGTATTGGCTTCTGAATGTCTTGGGGGAGGGGTCATAAGAACTCTATATGAGTTAATCAGACTTTGAACACCTCCCTACCTTTATGTGTCCTGGGAAGTGTTCATCTTACAGTCCTTGGGAGTTTCATTCAATACCTGTAGTCAGAAAAGATTCAAGGAAAGCATTACACATATCTTTTTTATTTCTTTTTCCTACATAGCACAGTGCTTTCTGAAATCTGCTCTGCAACCTTCATTTGCTGCTACCACCTTGAATGCTAGCCTGAGAAGCTTCTGGTGAGGTTGCTAAGCTCTGTTCTTTTGGTTTCATCCTGCTATACCTTTAATGTGCACATTGTCTCCAGGCAGAGCACTAAATCAATAACAGGACTCACCTCATTTGTTTTTCTGGGAATCTTGGTCCTGTGTTTTACTGTCCTAGTATTAAAAACTATTATTGAACACGGGTTTACAACTTGTTTGTGAATGATGTTAGATCTTTTCCTTGTTACTCCATCATGGCCATACATGGGAATTTCCACTCACCCCTTCTAGGATAGCATGTTTAAGTTTTTCTGGAGTACCTGGGTTTCTGTAGTCCTTGAGCTAGTGCTAAAATGCTTCTTTTTCACTTATTTATGAGTTGAATTGAGTTGACAAAAGAACATGAACTATGTGGCAGTTTCTTTGATTTTACTAAAGTGGGAGACCTGTAATATATAGACATCTGTGGTAAGATCTTGCAGTAGCTCACTGACTTTGCAATATGGAGAAAAAGGTAACACACACACACACACACACACACACACACACACACACATTTCTTATCTTTTCTTTATCAATGTAATGTTTGAAGATCTTTTCTTTGAAGCATTTTTTTTTTTCCTGCTGGCTTTCCAACCTTCCATTTTGTTGAGTAATATAAGAGAGGGTTCTTCATGGTTTTCACCCAATGACTTGTTATACTAGGGTATGCTTTTTAAATTTTTATTTATTCTATTTTTTATATTAATTACAGTTTATTCACTTTGTATCTCAGCTGTAGCCCCCTCTCTCATTCCCTCCCGCCCTCCCTCCCTCATCTCCTCCCATGCCTCTCCCGAAGTCCACTGGTAGGGGAGGTCCTCCTCCCCTTCCATCTGACTCTAACTTATCAGGTCTTATCAGGACTGGCTGCATTGTCTTCTTCTGTGTCCTGGCAAGGCTGCTCCCCCCTTAAGGGGAGGTGGTCAAAGAGCTAGCCACTGAGTTCATGTCAGAGACAGTCCTTGTTTCCATTACTAAGGAATCCACTTGGATACTGAGCTGCCATGGGCTACATCTGAGCAGGGGTTCTATTCTAGGTTATATCCATGAATAGTCCTTGGTTGGAGTATCAGTCTCAGAAAATACCCCTATGCCCAGATATCCACTTGTAAGTGGGTATTAGACATATAATATAGGATAATCATTCTAAAATCTGTACACCTAAAGAAGCTAAGCAAGAAGGAGGACCCTAGGTAAGATGATCAATCTTGACTCAGAAAGAAAAACAGGATGGACATTGGAAGAAGGAGAAAACAGGGAACAGGACAGGAGCCTACCACAGAGGGCCTCTGAAAGACTCTACCCAGCAGTGTATCAAAGCAGATGCTGAGACTCATAACCAAACTTTGGAGAGAGTGCCGGGAATCTTAGGAAACAGAAGCTCCACAAGGAGAACAACAGAACCAAAATATCTAGGGTGTGCTTTTAAAGACCCCACTGCTGGTGAAGAAGTCCAGGTTGTTTTTGTTCTTTATCACCTCTCCTCCTTTCAGTGTCCCGATGAGTTTTAAGTGTCCATTAAAAAGGTCCTCCATCTCTGCATCAGTTCTTCTGCTACTCTCTTTAGTGTGCTTCCTCTCTCTGTAGTATGAGTATCAAGTTCATAGAACTCTATACCCAGCAAGTCTCTAACAGCTAGCCTTCCTGCCAGTAGCTCTCTGTAGCTGTCTCTGACTCTACCTGGGCTAGCATATGTTTGTCTTATCTTCCCTCTTTCTGGTCTACCTCTATATTAATTCTTTTCTAGCCTACTTTTTTACTGTTTCAAATATGTTTTCTCAGGCATATTCATGTTCCGCCTTGTCACTGAGCCAGCCTTGGAGCCAAGACTGTAAAATTGAAAAGAAAGGAATAGGAAATCACTAATGTCATTCCAGGGTACCAAAAAACAAGGCTGTTGTCACTCACAGCTTTTTTTCACTTTCCTTAGCTCCACCTGCTCCCTAGGGTCTTGCCTTTCCTTAGACAGTGTCCCAGGAAACCAAGTCCTGGCAGTCCCTCTTAAGATGCTGGAGGCCCAAGTGAGCTGTGCTTCCCTCTTGCCTTGCTGGAGATTTTGTCACTGCTCCTTGATATTGACCTCAGCCTCTGCCTCTCAACCAGCAGGACGTACAGCAGGGTGTGAACCTGTCCTCTGCTTCTTTTTCTCAGGATGATCAGGAATGAATGCCCAGTGTGTTTATGATTCCCACTGTAGACAGAAGAGAGCTGAATTTTGGTCCTTTGGGAAGACAGTGGGAGTCCCAGACAGCCCGGGTCTCTTTGTACGTGATCATGTTTTCTTTCTAGGACTTCTTGGGATGGTGGTTAGATATCCACATTAGGAACATACATAGAGAGGTGAATACTTCAGACCCTGACCTCTTACTTCTGACATCACTGGTACCACCCTACCTCATTACATAGTAGGTAAAAAGACTGATTATCAGTGTGATTTCTTTCAGGATTTGGTGTCATTTGATACTGTACCGTGACACGTCATAGAACAGGAGTGGCTGAATTTGAGTCTGAACCTGGAGCAGCAGGCGCTGACATATTTCAGGGCTGTGACCTCTGTTGGTAAGGATACCCCCAGAATTTCTTCAGACTCACTGTCTACTGAAAGTGGAGTTAAGAATATATATGGTCACCCCCATACAATCTAGCTTTCCCCTTCTGTATTGAGAATACTCAGCAACAGCTCTGCAAACTCCTCATTACATGGAAAGATCTCCATTCAAGTTTTTCACTTGAAAGAAATTAGAACAGTAGTTGATTAGATGGCTGAGCATGTAAAGGTGCTTGTCACAGCACCTGCTGACCAAGTCCAACCCCAGGAACCCATAAGGTAGGAGGAAGCAATCAATTTCTGCAAGTTGTCCTCAGACTTCTACAAGCACACCATGGCATGAACATGCCCACACAGTTACATACACAATAAAGAAATAAATGTAAAAATAGAAATTAGAGCAAACCCATAGAATACTTTTGAAATTTAATATATTGTCTTCAGATAAAGAATATGTCAGACATGAAATTGATCAGAACAGATGCTATGCTGAGCATAGCATAAGACTGAGACAATATATTTTACAAATACATACACAATATATGTGTAATACATTGTGTATATACATGTATATATACCATATATAATATAGTGCATTATATATGCACACTCATGCATGCACATACGCCACACACATACACACACACACAAACACACATACAGATTATACCAATCATGTGGCCAGTTGATTGGGGCTCATTGTTGTGAGCTATCTATCCGTTAGGTGTTTGCATGGGGTGGGGAATATTTAGAAGAAGGAACTGTTGAGGGTTTGATTTAGAGTTGTAGAGGTCTGGGAAGAACTTGGGTAGTAGGGAGCAGACAGTGAGGTAAGTTTATCTGGCTAAGATGCTTAGGTAAGATGTGTTCCTGGAACCTCTGCAAAGGGGGTCCAGAGTCTGTCTTTCTACACTCCCCAGAAGGATCTAACTCTTGAAAAGTACGTTTGAATTGTATATAAGACTTATATAACAAGGTCATAGACGGCACAAGGGATTTGGATGGGGTCTCCTTTGATAGCTCCCCCACTCCCATCCCTCCATACTGATATCATCAGTAGCTGCCTTCTTTCATTAACAGGAGTTCCTGTTGTGAATCCTGTTTTGGTCTCTCAGCTGTCACAAGGACAAGTTCTGTTGGTATCAGCTCCATCCCTCAGCACAGATCACACTAAGCATCCTGGTGAGCATAAAGGAAACATGAAGAAGCATGAGGAAATTTGGGGGCAGGCTCTGATTTGAGCTGGAGGAAGCTACTCAGCTCTTAGAGTTGAAGTTACATTCACAAAGACTAGCTAAGCTTGTGGGGTCTAGGATTAGAGACTGGGAGCCAAGCTGAAGCTCTGGGGCTAGGGTGTGACTGTCCCTTTGCAAAAAGCAAAGCTCTCTTCACAGGTCCTTTTATAAACAATGTCCACTATCAGGAACTTCTACCCTTCCCTCTGGTGCTTACTTCTGATGGCTTCCTGGTTCTCAGCAGTTTAGGTAGAGGAGATTATTGACAATGGAGAGCATCCTTTCTCCTGGGCCCTCTGTAGACTGTTGTGTCTCATTTATCATTGTAGAAAGCACCTCTGTGACTTCCTACCAGAAGATGGGTGAAGAAGCCCAGCTGCAAGAGATGGTGTCTACAAGCTCCCCGAGGGCCAATGACCCCAACGCTGAGGTCAAACAGAATGGGGACTCTGGGGGAAGGGGAGGGAGCCCACAAAATCTGCCCATAGAACACCATTTTGCATGTAAAGAGTGTGGGGACACCTTCCGCCTTAAAGTGCTCCTTGTTCAGCACCAAAGGGTTCACAGTGAGGAAAAGGGCTGGGAGTGTGGCGATTGCAGGAAGGTCTTCAGGGGGGTGTCAGAATTTAATGAGCACAGGAAGAGCCATGCAGCTGTGGCCACTCAGTCTCTGCCTGGTCCCAGTTGGGCTCTGGAAGATGCCTTGGAAAAGAGGGAGCAAATGGAGAGGGAGGCGAAGCCCTTTGAGTGTGAGGAGTGCGGGAAAAGGTTTAAGAAGAATGCAGGCCTTAGTCAGCACCTGAGGGTGCACAGCAGAGAGAAGCCCTTTGATTGTGAGGAGTGTGGGCAGTCCTTCAAAGCCAACACCCACCTCTTTCGACATCAGAAGCTTCACACTTCGGAAAAGCCCTTTGCGTGCAAGGCGTGCAGCAGGGATTTCCTGGACCGCCAAGAACTTCTCAAGCACCAGCGGATGCACATGGGCCACCTGCCCTTCGACTGTGATGACTGCGGCAAGTCCTTCCGTGCTGTCAACGGCCTGGCAGAACACCAGCGCATCCACAGCGGGGCCAAACCCTTTGGCTGTCCTCATTGCGGCAAGATGTTCCGGAGGAGCTCAGAGCTCACCAAGCACCGGAGGATCCACACTGGTGAGAAGCCCTATGAGTGTGGCCAGTGTGGCAAGGCCTTCCGCCAGAGCTCTAGCCTGCTGGAGCATGCACGCATCCACAGTGGTGAGCGGCCTTATGCGTGTGGTGAGTGCAGCAAGGCTTTCCGGGGGCCTTCTGACCTCATCAAGCATCGGCGCATCCACAGTGGACTGAAGCCCTATGAGTGCGAAAAGTGTGGCAAGGCCTTCCGGAGGAGCTCAGGTCTGAGCCGCCACCGTAGGATCCACAGTGGGGCCAGGCGCTGTGAGTGCAGTGAGTGTGGCCGCGTGTTCAAGAGGCGCACAGCGCTGCTAAAACACCAGCCCTCCCATCAGGAGTAAACACTGCCCTGGGACCCAGAGCAGGGGTCCGCAGAGTCCATGACCCAGTCAAAGGAGATAAACAGTTTTGCAGTGCTTATCTATTTTATTGTGTGAGAGGTTGAAATGATTGTACTGCCACCAGCAATTTATAAACGTCAATGTTTCCCATTACACCTATTGAGGGTAACTTTTACCATTTGAACATAGCTTGGCTACTTTTCCTGGCAGAAAGTACTGTCAAGGTATTTCAATCCTCATATCCAAAATGAGAAGAGAAATCTGCATATGGGGTCTAGTAGGGAGCTGGGAGGTCCTTTCCAAGCTCCACCTCTAAGGGAAATATAGCCCTGTTCAATGGCATCAATATGATGATACCTTTCTTTAAGGAAAAATTGCCCTAAGGTTTTGGCCTACTTGAATTTATAAAATTTTAGGGATGTAAATAGAATGCTCAAATGCCATAATATTTAATTTATTAATTTAGTAATACATACATATAAATTACATTATGTGAAATAATATATTAATTTAGAGAATACTACTTTTCCACCATACTCCATTTGTTTCTAACTCTCAATGTGCATTTTTTTACCTCACCAACATCAGTCACCTCTATCTGAGCTATGGTAGCACTGTGACAATCCCTGCATAAGGCTCTCACCAGAAGTTTCCTCCAAAGCCATAAGAACATAGTAATATAACATTAGAACCATTACTTTCTGTGTCTATTTTATATAGTACTGTACCTACAACAAAACCACTGAAAGTGGTGCTTTTTCAAATCGCCTTTAAAAAGGCTTTTTTTTTTCCCCCTTTTCAAACATCATTTCCAGGTCATACTCCTAGTCAAACTTCTGGGCTAGAGATAAACATGGTTTGGCTCTCATTTTGTTAAGCCAGTTCAATCCAGTGACCCCTGTGAGCACCTAAAGCAAACATCAGTTGGGGTTTGTCCTCACACAGTATCATTTTGTTAAAAAAAAAAAAAAAAAAGTGAGAGAACATCCCCAAATGAGAGGGACATCTTCAGGACCTAAAGGTGGTTAAGTGACAACTTTACCTTCTTGTAATATCCTTATCTGATATCAGACATAAATGGTAGTTCTCCAGCCCTCCGTTTGCAGCTTTGAAGCGGGGAGGAGTCACAATCCCGACCTCCTAAGGTTGTTGTAAGGAGTGTGCCTCGCCTGCAAGAACACTGCCTGGCAAGGAGATTTGTATACTCAGTGAAGGCCACTTGTTGGCATCCCACAGCTCATTAGTACCGGAAACAGGGATGGCCCCATCAGGCCTCCTGACTGCTTAGTCTCATCTTTTATGTAATGACTTCAATAGTATTTCTTCTCTTTTCTTGCATGCAAATTATTTGTTCATCTCCTTTGACTAGTTATCAAGTTATCTTCGGCTATATTGACTTTATTTAGTAGTTATTTCTATATCAATTTGCTATTATTTTCCAATTTTTATTGCTTTGTTTTTTAATACTTTTATTAGATTTTGTTGTGCAGGCTTTAGGTTTTTACATATCCTTGAATTCTTTTTTTCTCTGTTAACTTGTGACTTTCATTGCTTCAGTACTTAAATATGATGACATTTTCTTTGAGGATTTACTCACAAAAGAAAACTTAAATCCCCTGCCTGCCAAGAAAGCAAACATACAAGATGGGCAGGTTGGATTGGGAGTGGGCCAGAAAGGCAGGCCCAAACCTCATCTAAGATACAGACTCTGTAAATCTCTATGGGCAACACTTGACTATACAAACTGGTCACTGGGGCGCTCTAGAGACATGTCTGTCACATATTGCTCAGAGCACTCTATGACTGCTCAGTAGAGCCCCACCCACCAGCAACAGGGCTCAGCCTCACCTAGACCAACAGAATGGTCCAAATGTGATCTGGCAACAGCCAGCCACCCTTCAAGCTATCAGGAACCTTGACTATTTTTAACTGAGTGACTGAACAGCAGCTCCACCTAAGAAACCTCTCAGACACAGAAGATTCACCTGACTGGCGATGTGTGACCTCCATTCTCCTCCCAGCAAGTGACTCTGGAATGAGAGAGAAATAAGTTTTGTGGCTTATGCTTTGGGCAACTAGAATGAGAAATTTGCCTGTGTTCTGGCATCACTACCTACAGCCACATCTAAGAGGGATGACAGCATAGGCCTGGAGAGAAATGGAGCTGTATTCCTCCAGTAACCTGCATGCCATGCCACAGAAACTGAATGCACCAGGTCTGGTCCAGGGCTTGGAGTAACCATATCCAAGGGAGCAATAAAGCAAGATCAGAAGGCAAGAAGCCACTCGACAGTCCGTGTGGCACAGAAATTGAAACTGATCACCCTGCAGTAGGGCTGTTGCTTCAGAAAAAACAGCAGGTGAGGAATGTGGCCACACCATGGCTGTTGCCTGGGTTTCTAGTTGTGCCCTGAGGGATGTTGGAGGATCAGAAAATGTGCCCTTATGGCACCTTGTGAGGGAGGTTGGGCTCTCTGTGGCACATAGCCTAAAATGGCTTCCAGCCCCATCCTGGAAAGCAATGTCTGACTGACAATGACATGTATGATCATGGTCTTAAGGCCTCTCTAATGTCCCCTGCCCCAGGACACCAAAGTGGCCCTGTAGGCGTTCTCCATGCTGGAGAGAAGCAAACAACAGTTGCTACACAGCAACTCCTATCGTTCTGTGGGCTCAGTTCTGGTGGTTTCTTGTGAACTGATGTGAGCCCACATCTTTATAATTAATTTTCTCATTGCGAGTTGTTAGGACATATTTTATATAGCTGTCATTGAGTAAGGAATGTTGACGTCTACAAGGAAGAAAATCTGGTACCTTTACCTTGAAGAGATGCCATTTCTTGCTCATCCATCATTTATTATGGTTGACAAAAAAAATACTATTGAATATCTAGAATAACACTAACTCGGAAGGTAGCAAAGTGGTCACTGTCCAGCTGGGGCATGGCATTTCTTCACATTCCATCCTGCCCCCTTACGTTTTTCTAGTTTGGGTTCTGTAATTTTTTTTTCTCTTGAACAAGTCCTTTTTTTAGGGTTAACACTAAAAATCACTGTCTTTTCCATGACTGTTGTTGGATCAGCTTTTAAATGGTATTTAGTGGTGAAATCGCCACTCTGTCCAAACACAGTCAGTGTATGGCTTTAATATGTGGCCCATAGTTGCATTCCTTGCCTTGGGTAATGCGGGGGTGGATTTCCTTGGATCCTTTAGGTGTACTGCTATGTCCAATGCAAACATGAACAAGCTTCTTGCAGTGTGTGCATTCGTGTATCTACCTCATTGTTCTTTTCTTTCTAACCACATATACTCTTCTTGCAAGGGAATAGAGACTAGCCAGATTACATAGAATTCTAACTCTCTATAGAGATCCATCTCTTTACTATATTAGGAAAGAAATCCTCTGTGGCTTTTATTAGTGTCTGAATACTTGCTGAAAATTTTTAAAAAGCAAATGTTTACCAATTTGCTGCTTATTATGGTTAACTATATCAATTCATTGTATCATACCTACTCTTGAATTTAAAGAATAATTCCCACCAGATCACAGTGTGGGCATCTTTCTCCCATGAAGTTGCATTCTGTGTGCTTGATTTTGAGCTTGAAGTGGCATGACACCTGCCCTGCCTACAGTCCTGGGCTGTGGCCCTGTTGTGTCCCATGTGACTTGCCACCCTACTTCTGGACCACATTAATTAAACTAACCCATACACCTGACCCAAAGGCAGCAACCAGCTGATTAGGAAAGATGGACTTGGCCTTTTAGGACTATGAAATGCAAAAGAAGAAACTGAAGCTTCTGGTTGGTATTGGAGGCATTGAGGGAGGCACAAGATATTTCAAGAAGTTGCCTCTGTAAATAGAACCAGAGTGGAGGTCTACGTGTTCTTGCTGGCCTGTCTAGAGCTACTTGGATCCCCTCCTAATGGAGACTTGGCAGTATGTCCCTGGATGGCTGGCAGCTGCCTTCATCAGTCTGTGTGCTTCCCCAGCATAGACTTCCTCCCCACTGCCTTGAGCTAGCTTGAGTGGGTCTGTGCTTTTTAAATTTGTCAAGAGCCAATTGCCTTTGACAATTGGGCTGCTTCCTAAGAAGGCTCACATTGCTGGCTTCCCTCACATTCTATCCACCCAGCATTCCTGGCTTCAATTCCAGTTGATTGACATGAACGCCTGCCTAAATGTGGTACTGTACTCCATCCACTGAGGTGGGTGGAAACCTATGCCTTTTAGTCTCTGGGTTTAACCCATGATCTTCTATATGACTGTAGTTCCTGTTTTGAACAGCATTTGACTCATAAGATGAGCTCATTGTAGTTCACTCTACTCTATTTTAGAAGTGTATTACTATTTCCAGCAGACCCACTAGATTAGGAGGTTGGTGACACCTCTATTCCTGGTGTACTTGCATTCTGTAGTTCACATTACATTGGTTTTGGTACTTACTTTCAAAAATAGAAATGATATCGTAGAATTTGATCCTCAGTGCTACTTGCATATTTCTGAGAATAGTAGTTTTGTCCTGCCCCAGTTTGTATAAAGTTTTGGGCGTTCTTGTTCTTCCCCAGTCAGAGTCTCCTGTCTGTTTTATGGCACTCACTATAATCACCCTTGCACTAGAGTTGTTTGTGTACTTGCCTTTTCCTCCCCTTTTCTCAGCTTCCCCAAAACTATTAGATTGTGAGCTCTTAGAAGACAGGGTGGCCCTTCATGTCCAATCCCCTACCAAATCTAGCATAGTGCCTTGCACCTAGTAGATTTCAATAAATATATGTTAAATGGCATAGCTCTTCCTTGACTCATTTTGTCCATGCTACATTTATAAGTGCTTCACATTGTCTTCACCATGGGGTAGTTCCACATAGAGAATCACCTTCCTAGTACCCAGCTCAGCTGCCAGCTTGATTTCTGCTGGGACTGATCATCTTTGCACTTACTGGATACCTGGAGAGGATTAGGCAGCACCATGGCAGGGAGAGAAGTGTTTGCCTGAAGCCAAGAGTTGGGTCTTGACAGAAACAGCATTTTCTCCATGTCGGTCCAGGCTTCCCTGCTGAGTCTGAGATGAAAGTCAAAGTCAATCCAGATTTTGACCTGCTCTCAATTAGAGCCTGAGAACGAGGTACTTGAAAGCATGTCCACTCCTCAAGGATGAGAAAGGACATGAGAGGGAGGTCAATCCTTTTGTAGCCATTGGTTAGCCCTCTTTCTGGTGAATAGCACCCCAGAAATGAGACCAGCTCCCTAGGTGCCCTGACTCCTTCAAATACACATGTTTCAGATGTGAAGCCAACTGAAGACAAGCTCCGGGGTGGGAGACCCAGTGGAAAGCAACAGTTTAGAAAGAAGCTTGCCTCCCTAAGGAGTTGTTTTCCTGGATTCTGG